ATATGTGTGTTATATGTGGGTACAACCTGTGGTGGGCCCTCCCCCCCCAAGTTTTTGGATGCATGGCTAAACTAAGGTTGGATCCCAGGTACAGCGGAGCTGCTGTTCCATCCTTTACCTCAGGCCACATTTCAAGGCCGTCAGCAGGACTTAATCTGTACCCGCCACACTGCTGTAGCAGCCAGCTGATTAAATACATCACTTTACTGACTGGAGATTATATTACAGCTGGATACATAATAGAGATTTTCTCCTTCTCTAATACAGATATATCCAGGCATAGCAAGAATGGGGGAAATGGCCAGCATGGGACATTATCAGAGATGGTTTCACATGTGAATAAGTGAAAGGCTGTATTTTTACTGGTTCTTACCTGAATACTAGCATAGGTTTGTGGCAGATGACACTTGCTGTTCTAATCCTCTCAGGTTTTGCCATGATTTTTTTCCATTTTTCCAGATACCAGGACATCACCCATTCTATCCATCTGGCCCGGAAACAGAACCTTGGCTTGAAATCCTGTGATGGCAATCAGGAGCTCCTCAACTTCCTACGTAGTGACCTCATCGAGGTGGCGACTCGATTGCAAAAGGGGGGCCTCGGTTATGTCGAGGAGACGTCAGAGTTTGAAGCCAGGGTGAGAGCATGCAGGACATTCTTTTTTCTGGGAGGCAGCCGCTGCTTTGAAGAATTTGGCTTGGAATTTCCTTTTTCTTTTTTTTCTCACCTTTTTCAAAGGTGACAGTGAGAGTCCTTATGATCCATGTGTGTAGATGTGCAAGAAAAGACCATGTGGGACCAGCCTTTTGTTACGAATGTCCCTGAGTGTGTTCATGGATCCCCCTCTCCTGGCTAGTGTCTGCTCATTGAGCTTCCTTTCTCAGCAGTTTCTATGTGGCTTCAAGTTTTCTGTTCAGACAGCCTCTCTGCCTGCCATCACCTCACTTTTAACTTCCCCTTTAATAGTTGGTTGCATCGGGGTGTTCTGCCTTTGTCTGATCTCCTTTAGCCAGCCATTGGGGAAGTCATGTTAGAATGAGCATTATTTTCATACTTAAACTGTTGGTGACCTGTTATTACTTTGATTGGATTCTGAGGTGTAACTGAAGTAACTGCCCTAGAGGCCAGAAGTGACAGGTGCGGATGGTCTGGGGTTCAAAGCTCAGTGGAATCCTAGAGACTCATTACTGGTAAACTTGGGTTTGTGACTATTGGCTTTGTATTCCAAACTTGCCAAGATATAGCTTCACTGAGCTGTTCTCAGAGAGGACTCCTTGGGAACTGCCAAATGGAGATCGAAGAAATGGGGTCTGCTACGTGAATCTGTAGCTGGCTGTACCAGCCTGGACCCGGTCTGCATGAGGGTTAAACCCTGGGTCGTTTGTCCATGTACAAGTAAGATGTCAGCAGGTGGACCAGAATAGACCAGTTAATGTTTGGGGCGCTTACAGCCTTTCCCTTCCGTCAGAAACTAGGTTGTCCATTCCTCTTGGGGCGCTGCCAAGTAGTTTTACTGAGATTCCTGTTTGTAGAAATTCCAGTGTTAGAAGAAGTGTCACACCATTAGCAAGACATGCTTAAGAATTTGCTTTGTCTAAATCCCTCTGGGTTTTATCTGAGTTGGGGAATTTCTATTTTGTGAATAAATTGTGGGTCAATGGAACATGACATCAGGAATAGATTGCTCTTGGGTTGTAGGAGGCACAGCTTTCCTGGGAAACTGACCTTCCGTGAGAGTGTGTGAAACATTTATGTTTGGCTTAAGCTGAACTTGCCTTAGTTGAGAATAGTGTGCCTTCTTTCTCTCATTTATCTTGGCTTTTTGTGGTTCTCTATAGGTTTTCTCCCTGGAGAGTCTAAAGGATTTTGGGGAGTGTGTGATTTCACTTCAGGCCAGCGTCATCAAGAAGTTTCTTCAAGGTTTCATGGCTCCAAAACAAAAGAGAAGGAAACACCAAGAAGATTCAATAGCAAAGACTGAAGAAGTTGACGAAGAGAAGAAAATGGCAGAAGAAGCGAAGGTATCAGCCCTTGGGGAGCTATTGTCTTGCCTCTGGCCAGGAGAGGTTCGGTTCTTGATTTTTCCAGTTGAGGTTTTAAGTTCTTGTGCTCTGGTCGAGGGCTGTCTCCTGAAATCCCTTGTAGTCTTCCCTCATCTCATTCCTTCCTGTCCTTTGCATTCACTTGGTGGCCCCGCCATTGTTCCCTCTCAGTGTTCGCCCCTCCTGCCTCTTACCCTTCTAGTGTCTGGGGTGGGTGTGGGGGGCGGGGCATGAAAGATGTCTAGGTGAGACCAAGCACTACCTTTACACAGTGTGAAAACTTCATTGCTGTATTTTGCTATCAAGTTTATTTAAAATGCCATTTATGTCAAAGGAGGCAGAGTGAATGCCATGTCAGATGGAATGTAGATGCAAACTGTCCCCTCCCTCCATCTCAGAGTATTTCCATTTCCCACTCTCTGTCACTAGGAGGCACAGGAGGGCTGCAGAGGTGGCTCGATGGGCCCGAATCTTGATTATTCAGAGGCAGAGCCCATCAGTGTGTGTCCCCCCCCCCCCCCCCCCCTGGCCTTTTCAGAGCCTCCTTCATGAGGGTTGCCAGGGCACCTGTGCTTGCAGTGCAGAAGACCTGGATCTGAGACTTTTTTTTTCCAGCCAAAGGCAAGGTTTATTATTAGAGCATCCATCATACTGGGCAGACTCTTAAGGAGTCTGAATGTTAGTGAGCTATTGGCTAGATTGTAAGAATCTGAGCAGTGACTGGATTATAAGAATCTAAGCATCTTAATGGAGACAAGATGGACCTTATACACAGAAAGACTATGGGAGGGATCGAGGAGTGGCCAAGTAGTCTATGATGTAATAGAACTCCAGGGACCTGGACCCGCCCGTGGCCAAGGGAGCCTAGATAGGATTAAGGGTGGGAAGTGGCTGGGGACTATAGGGAGGTGAGACAGTGGAGGGCCAGGCTAGGTTAAGGTTAAGAGATTGGGAGTAGCCACAATGAAAGGCCAGTTGATGGGATTATAGCCTCAGGCCAACTCCAGAGATTTGGCCGTGTGGGAAGGTTCAGGTTTTTTCCTTTCTGGGGTCTAGATCCTATCCTCATCATTCCCTCCTCAAACAAATGGGACCCAAATTCTTTTGGGGTAAGGGGAGAAGGTCTCAGCTTCTGAAACTGCTTCCTGCTGGCAAGGGGCATAGAGCCATCCCTGCCTCGAGGGGATCCCAAAGAGGAGGTTGACTGGAACCAAGCACAGGCTGCATCCAGGAGACAATGGGGGGGACATTGGCAGGTACCCACTGTTTGCTACCAACTGTAGGTGAACGGCCTGTCGTCTGGAAGACAAAAATCTGACAGATAAGATTGCAGGGCCAGATATAAAGCAGGAACATGACAGTTTAGGAAAAACTTTTCCAGGATTTACATCTCAAATTTAAATGTCCTGGTGTAAAAAGCCAATCATTAGAGATTATTCCTATATAATTGCAAATTCTTAGCAAGATAAAATCCAAACAAGCTTTTTGTCAAGTTTACACATTAAAACAATAACCAACAGTAGCCAGATTATTTTAGTGGTAACCAAATTATGAAAAGTTGCTTGACATAACTGATACAAAAAGTTCACCAATTTGAAACATGAAACAAACTCAGTACCATTCAGGTGACTTCAGTTTTGTTAAATGTATTTCCAAATTACTTTACACAGAGAACATCTCATCATGAGTAGTTAAAACTACAACTTTAAAAGAGTGTGCTTACCCAGGTTTGGAGGTTAGCATCATTACCTTGAGCAGGATATGCTGAACCTGGGTGATGCTTCCAGGCAAAGGTTGCTCCAGGACCCAAGGCCATTGCCAGGGGAGCCCACGCTGTAGCTGCTGCCCCTCCCCCCTCTTTCTTTTCCTCAGGTTGGGGAGGGCGAAATCAAAGGTGAGGGATAAAGGGTGAAACTCTCTTCTCTTATAGAGATACCCTCTTGACTCAAAGGAAGGGCGTGGGAGAAAGGAGTGACCAGGGTTGTGAGGAGGAGTTTCAAAACTCCTTAATGATCAATCACAAAACCTCCAGAATCTGCCAAGATATTTTTAGCTGTTAGAAATTTTCCCTGTAACCTCCATGAAGGAGGATTCAGGAGTGTAGAGGGTAGGGAGTAAATAAGCCTCAGGGAACCAAAAAGCAACTGCAGTTTTCTCCAATTCCCTAGCGCCAAGAGAATTGACAGAAGTGGGCATACATTTCCAGATAGGGCATCCATCCTTGTCCTGTATGCTGCAGAAGGTGTGCCCAGGTCCATGACCTCGAACCAACCCAGTGGACCGAGAGCCTGAGAGCGTCAGACCGAGTGCTAGACAGCCTTCTAACTGAATGCCCAAAAAGCACCTCTAAGCCTTGGTGCTTGGAGAGCGACCCCAACTGCAGAGGAAGAAGGGGACAGGGAGGCTTACATACCTTCCAGTCTTGGCTGGCGAAGAACTTGGGGTTAGGTAGTTCCCCATATGGGTCACCAAAATGTTGAGGTTCAGGGGTGCTGGGACCCCAAAATCATAACCCGTGGGTCCTGCCCGAAAGAATTCAACCCAAGCCTTCTTTCAGCCAAAGACAAGGTTTGCTAGAACATCCATCATATTGGGCAGACTCTTAAGGAGTCTGAATGTTAGTGATCTATTGGCTAGATTATAAGAATCTAAGCCAGACCTGAGACATTTTCAAGATGGAAGCAGCAGGACATGTCAACTCAGTGATAGCGAGGAAGTGGGGTGGAGAAGGTCCTGTTAGCTGAGATGGGGCAAGCTGCTCGGTGTGAGGAGGAAGGATCAAGTTTTAGAGAACGGTGGGAAATCCAAGTAAGAGCTGTCCAGCAGGCAGGTTGAGATTTGGGCTGGGCATGTAGATGTGCAAGCTAGATGTGTGCAGGAGGTGACTGATTCCATGGGAGTAGGTGAGGTTTTGCAAAGTACTAATAATTCACAAAGTTGTCTCTAGCCGGTATCTCTGACAGAAATGCACAAGGGCTATTGAAAAAGGCAGACAGAAGAAAGAGTGGGCAGAACCAAGTCGATGATTTCATAGCTTAATAATTTATTAACAGCCGTTATGCCGGGCACCATCTAGGACAGAGAAAAGTCTGGGGACGGGGTGTGTGTAAGGCTGGACTGCCGGCCCCTTCTCTTCACAGATGGGGCCAGGCTACATAGCGGACTTTGGCCTCCTTTGCATTCTTCATAATTGGCTTCTTTTAAATACCCAGCCACTACCCCCTTCTGCTTTTGAATAGCAGCAAAGTATCCTGGAAAGGACTGGCCTTTAAAGACTAGGATTTTTATCTCCATTGAATTGCTTGGGTCTCAGTTTTCTGGGCTGTATGATGGAAATCGTCATTCTACCACCCACGTCAGTTGTGAGGGCTGTTTCTAAATGTGATGGTGTCAGTAACAGGCTCCACTTCTGGTGATTTTACCCCCATCGAGTGAGAGCTTTTCCCCCCCTATCCCTGTGCAGGTCAGGTGTGTTGGATCCTGTTTTAGGAGAACCTCAGAAGCGGTCATGTCTTTCAGAGGGGGCTCCTGCCAATGCTGAGTTCCCAGAATTGAGAGTTTTCTCAATTCAGTTGCATACAGAAGAGACTCAGCCCACCTTCTGCCTGGCCAGTGTGAAAGCCCTGAGTCCTTGCTCTTCTCTTCCTCCCTGAGCACTCTCCTGGAGCAGGTGTCTTTCCTTTATGTGATGGCAGAGCCATCACTGGAGAATTCTCTGTCTTTTAAGACTTGGTGCCTGCATTTGGCCATAGGGGAAGATGAGGGGGGTTTTCTTCCCAGGCTTACCCATCAGGGCCAAGATGCATAGTGTATTAATGAGACTAGTGGGACAATTTCCTTGGAAAACTAGAAGCATTGTCACCAAGTGCCTCCAGTGGTGCTCTGCATTGAAATCCTTGCTCTTCCCTACACCTCCCCACCAAAAATAACTTGCACACCTCTTTTTTTCCTCCCTGTTGGCTCCTGCTTGGTAGCAGATGGCCATTTGCAAAAGCCATGCTTTCTAAACCCTGGAGTGTGTCTCCTGGGCAGCAGCCAGGGCCTGAGGCTCCTCCTGGGGCGCAGGGGGACTCACTGGGGCAGTGCAGCCCAATCTGGTGTGTGACTTCCTCCCTCTCTGCTCCTGGGGCTGACAACTTAACTCTTCCCATTCTCCGCATTCTCTTGGGGGAATAACACGACATTAACTTGTACTTCACTGTGGACTTGCCAGAGCGCTGGCAAGTTGTCAAGAAAGGGCCTGAACTGCAAGTGTGATTCTCTGGGCTGTCTTTCTATACTTTCTCTGTATCTCTTGTTTCATCTGTTTTTGAAAGAGACTCATTTGGTTCTAAACCTGGAATAACTTGAACTGTACATGAATTTCTTGTGTTTGTATTTGAGATTTCTAGTAATGGCAGGCCAGATTCACAGACCCAGCCAATGTCAGATGCCAAAGTCTTCCTTTTATACATGTTGACACGAGTCTGTTGTCAGTGAGAATTCTCTTCCTGTTGAAAGGTGGGAAGAGTTGGTACATTGTATTTCAAGAAGGGAGGGATGCCAAGAATTTTGATTTAAAGTGTTGCTTTATTTCCCTTGCTGATTATAGATAGAAGAGCAGGCCCGTAGATTTGTATCATTGACTGGTTCACTCAGACAGTTTAGGACAGTGCTGTCAAACACTGCGTAGTGACTCAGAAAACTCACACTGATATAATCTATGTTGCATATTTATTGTGTTAAACACTTCCCAATTACATTGTAATCTGATTTGGGCCAACATGCAGGTTGGCCAGAACCTCTGGATTTAGGACAGTGAGGACTGGGGGAAGAGTCCAGACCTTGCTGAATTCCAGCACTGACTCCCTCACTGGGTATGATCTTGAGCACATGATTCATCTGCCCCCAGGTGCCCCCTAAAGAAAAAGAAAGGGGCCTCCCCATCTTCCCACCCAGCTGGAGCATTCCGCAGATGGTGAGGCCGAGGTCCTGGCCTCATCCCCGCAGCATCACAGGTCAGAGTCGCCTCTTTGCCTCAGCTCACATAGAATTGTCACCGGGTTCTTCCCGATTGAGGTCCAGGCCCTCTCTGTCATACTGCACTGCCTCTCCTTTTCCCAGTGAGACATGCCACAGTGGCTGAGTCTAAGCATAAATGTGTGGAGAAAACTCAAAGCTGCCCATGATGACAGATGAATAGAAGAAAGTGTATGCAGTACCTGCCTGTCTCCGCTGGAGGGCACTGCTGGCCATCTGTGGTCACCCTCTGTCCTGAGTCTCAGGGACATAGGCTCACATTTTTCGTGAGGCGACTTTGGGTTTGTCCTCCAGGTAGAAGGCCTGACGAAGCAGCACTCTGTCCCCTCTTCTGGAGTCCTGTGGGGTGGGAACACAGACCTTGTCACAGAGTGTCACACGTGTGTGATGTTATCCTGAACTTCGGGGGGGCTCCTGGCTGTTGATCATGTGTCTGTAACACAGGTGTAGTGGCTGTTTCAGAGCCAGCCCTACAGAAGGGGTGGGGTTGTAGCATGGCCCTGTTTGTATTGGCTTTTTTTGTAGGCACAGCGTGGTCTCTCCTTCACTGGGTGTATATGTGTGGACACCCATGTGTGCGCACAAGTATATGCCCCCACATATATACGCACATGTGCACACAGGCACATGCATGCACACACGCGCGTGCGCAAGCACACACCCACACCGCCCTTGGCACCTGGGCTTAGAGCTTGCTGGACCCACCCCAGCCACTGACAGCTCTATTTTAAGGTCTGTAACCCAGCAGGATAATTGACTTCTAGTGTGTCCTCCGTGAGGGTGAGGGCAGGACCCCTTAAAATAGACCAGTCTTTGCCCAGCGTTGGTCAGTGACGTCCAGTTTCGGTGCCGGGGATCTGTCTTCTGCTTTTCCATGTTCTGCTTGCTTTGCTCTGATTTAGTTGGTGCAGATTTTCCCTCACTGTTCTGAGGACCTCGACTCACTCACCCCTTCCTCCCATTACAGTTACAGTTTGTGAATAGGCATCTACTTTTTTTTCTGCTGCAAAGAGTTCTGCCTGTATTTTGGCATCTAAGGAACCCTTTCCCTTTTCCGAGAAGCATATATATGTGCTTATTAAAAGTGTCTACAATGTGCCAGATATTGTGCTCAGTTAATTCTGGGGGTGCAGAAGCAAAAGTGAAGCAGTCCCTGCCCACAAGGAGCTCGCCCTTTGTTGGGGCAGATGTGTACAAAGTCTGCACATGGTAATTAAGGCAGTGTGGTATGGGCTGGACCATGGAGAGCTAGCAGAAGTTATTGGTCTCTTCTTTATAGTGGGAGAGGGGGAAGTGAAGGGGCAGAAGCTTGTAAGTCTACAAGAATAATCCTTGAAATTTTGAAGAGGAAAGTACTGATGCTGGCAGTGGGAGCAGCAAGGTAGGAAGACGAGGAAGCCTGTTCCTGCCCTCCTCACTGTTGTAGTGGACATGTCCTGTAGATACTTAGAAGAGGGACAGGACATACTCCTTCCCATGGAAGAGGTTGTCCATTCCAACCATCATTTGCGGAGGTTCAGAGATGGGAGATGGACCTCAGGGCTGAGGAGGCTCAGTCTTAAATCAGTGCAGATAAAAATATCAAGGCAAAAATTTTAATGGCTCTTTAGATAGGACTGAGGTAGTGGGAAAAATGAAAGTGGGTGAAAGTGGATGCTCTCTGTGTGGAATAGCCCTGGGCTCCTCGCGCTCCCCACTGCACAAATGGAGGCAGCCACGAAGTGCTGGTAGGAGGCCGATGTGGCCACTTTAGATGGCAGCCCCTGGTGCTTTGCTAAAGTTGTTGCCTTTCTTCTGTGCCTGGGGGTTTTGTTGTTTGTTTATTTGTTTGTTTAAAGCATACTAGGAAAGGTGAATGGCTTTCATAATTTCCTTGTTTCCCCTCTTGCTTTTCTGCTTCATCTCTGCACAGAGATTTGTCACTAATTACATCATGCCAAGATTTCCAAGTAAGGCTCCCGTCTTCTCGTCCTCAGGCTACTTTGTTTTCTCTGTAGGTTGCTTCAGCCTTGGAAAAATGGAAGATAGCAATCCGAGAGGCCCAGACCTTCTCTCGAATGCACGTGCTTCTTGGGATGCTTGACGCCTGCATCAAATGGGACATGTCTGCAGAGAATGCCAGGTGCAAAGTGTGTCGAAAGAAAGGTATGATAGCATGCTACATTGAGGCTGGCAGTGCCATGCACAGAGAGTGTAGGGATCAGGCATTTTTTCATTACTAAGCCTTTCTGTGTCATCCCAGGATTTCTGTACTCACAGCAACCATCTCTGCCAAATTTCAGGACTAGTGGTAGTCAAATGCTTTTCTTGAGATAGACACACACATTACAGATGGGGCTTTGAGGCCCATTACTTGCCTAAGTACATACAAAGTACCGCATAGGCAGTACATTCAGACTGCTAGAGGTTGAAACCCTGTGTCCTGTGGGTTGAAATCCAGAACTTTTTCCACTTACAACGACAGGACTATATGAGGTGTTTCTGTGGTTTAATACTAGCATTATTTCACCTAGTTGAGAACCTGTTTGTGTTTGGAAGACTGTTTAGTCAGATGAATTACTAAATCTCCAGCATGTGCACAGAAAGCGCATTCCTGCAGAGGAGTCTTTGTGGTCCTTTGGCTGATGATGTAGCCATTCCTGGCAGAGCCCATCTTGTCCAAATCAGGTCTGATTCCAGGAGACCGCTTGGAAAGTGTTTAAAAAGACACTTTGGGAGATGTTCCCCTAGAGGTATGGGGTCAGTGATGCTGGGAACTTCATAGTACTTGAGGTTCATGCAGACAGGCAGGCAGGCACCAGCATCTAGTAGAGGGATGGAGCTACAGGATTTGGGGAGAAAAGTCCAGGGGCAAAGCTCAGTTGTTTGGGCAACCCTTTTCGAAGTTGCTGATCGTCCCTGATCGACTGGATCCAGTGCAGCCTTTCTGAGGCTGGGTTAAGGTGTGGCCACCTGTCTGTCATCCCGTCTCTGAGTGGCTTTTTTTTTTTTTTTTTTTAAAGGCAGTTGGGGTTAAGTGACTTGCCCAGAGTCACACAGCTAGTACGTGTCAAGTGTTTGGTCTAAGGCCGGATTTGAACTCAGGTCCTCCTAACTTCAGGTCCTGCGCTCTATCCACTGCGCCACCTGGCTGCCCCTCTGAGTGGCTTCTGAAGTTAGTTCAGGGCCTCTTCTGGTCAGTTCATTGTCTCTGTTTGGGCCCATCTCCTTTCATCGCCCCATTTCCAAAATGGGAAGATTAGTACCTGG